GTATTATTTACCGTCAGATGCGTATGGCGCAAGTGGCAATGCAGTGAAGCCTGCGATCCCGTTCAAACCCTTGGCAGCGGAGCGGGTCACGACAGCCACGACGCATTGTCCTGCCTTACAAGAAACACGCGTATGATAAAAGGCGCATGTCTTGCTCGTGACGTGGACCTCGATGGATTTGATGGGTTTATTACACTGACATTGCACACGACGTTGATAACAAATGCCACTCAGCGGAAAACCAGAGATCTCGCACCCACTCTCGTTGGCTTCCTCTCCGTCGGACGCGCGACGCATTGCTGAGTCGCCGACCGCGTTGGCATTCGCCACCGTGCCTCGCGGACGCCCAGAATAGCCCTCGGAAACAAATGGATCAGCCAGCAGTTAGGACATACCACCATGAGCATACCGCCACCAAAAAACGCAGGATATACAGCCACCAGTCATCGAAAAGCACAGGATACACAGACACCAGTCGTCAAACAACGCAGGATATACCGCCGCCAGTCGTCAAACAGCGCAGGATTTACCGCCGCCAGTCATCAAACAAGGCAGGATATACCGTCGCCAGTCATCAAACAGCGCAGGATATACCGCCGCCAGTCATCAAACAGCGCAGGATATACCGTCGCCAGTTCACCAAACAGCGCAGGATATACCGTCGCCAGTCACCAAACAGCGCAGGATTTACCGCCGCCAGTCGTCAAACAACGCAGGATATACCGCCACCAGTCGTCAAATAACGCAGGATATACCGCCACCAGTCGTCAAACAGCTCAGGGTATACCGCCGCGCGCATACTGCAAACAGCCTTCATGTCCCTGAACTGTCTCGGGCCTTGATTGTCGGCTCTCGGGTCCCACCGCCCGCTATCCTCTACGACACGGGTCTGCCCAGCTAGCGCAGGGGGCCGGCAGGTGAGGAGCCGCCGGCGCAGGGGGCCGGCAGGTGAGGAGCCGCCGGCTACTTTTCATGGTGAGCATGACACACGAACACGGTTCCGGTGGTGGACGCTGGTTGTCACGTGCAGTGCTTAGTACCCAGCACGCTACCTATCTGCTTTTAGCACACGGAAGCTCATCAGAAGTCTCCAAAAGTGCAAGAGAATCCACATATACAAGAAACGGGAATTTCAGTTCTAGATAGACCAACCACTGGATTTCAATAGAGCGTGGCATGGCGTACGGCACATCAGTTAAGACAAACATCATAGAGACAGGCTAACAAGTATGCATGCGCAAAACGGACGGAGGGAGAGAGAGAGAGAGAGAGAGCAGGACAGAGCAGTGCGGTAAAGAAGAAAGCACGACAGGTGACGTCACGAAAGAGCTCTCTCCTATACGTTCACTTTCCGAGCGGCAGTGATACAAAAATACGCACAAACCACCTAGTGTGGGGATATTTTATCCATCTTACGCATGGTTCGTCGGCTGTGGGGCGTTATATCCATAGCCGTTCACTCCTAATCTAATCCAGTGGATTGTCCGCCATTGTCCATGACTTCCATTTAAATATCAAAGTCATTTCGCAAGTTTTACGCCTAGATTTAGTAGGCCACAGTAACAAGCAGAAACGTGACGTACATGCGGCTACTTAAGGCGTGCGCAGAATCAACCACAGTTTTTGGTATTTTCAGCAGCAGTTTTTTGATTATTTGCCCACACCCGTACCCACAGGCGTACTGTCCCCACAGACGCAGTTGTAATTGTCTTTATATCAAATCTATCTGACCGAGCTCGCCACCCGTCCCAAGTGGGTGACAGCGGGTCTACCCAACCCCGGGGGACTTTTGCCTCTAGCCCCTTGCTCTGATCAACCCTCTAGCCCCTTGCTCTGATCAACAAGATTTATTGCTACGCATTTCCCGATGCAGATCTGGAGCAACGCATGAACAGATAAACCATATTATCGCCAGTCATTTGACGCTGTCTCGCAGGGCGCTGTCTTCACCCTCGTGGTCCTCAAGCGGCCCGCTAAAATCATGTTGTCGCTTCATTTCCACGAACGCCGCCCGACTCCGCTTCGCTCGGGTACATCACAGACAACAAAAAAGACGTCGCAGAGCATTCAGCAGGGCGACTTCACCCACACCGCGCGCCCTCACCTGAGTGTTTCCCGGGTGGCCGCGTGACGCGTCCAGCTGGCGCCAGAATAACCAGCACAGGGTCCAGTCATGAGACGCGTTTCCGTCGGTGTTAACTCGCAGCGCAAGGTTCGTCTGCAGCGGTACGAGGACCCGTCCACAGGCCACAGCGGGCACAACACCCCCCACAGCGGACACAAGACCTGTCCTTAGGCCACAGCGGGAACATGGAGCCGTCCACAGGCCACAGCGGGCACAATGACCTGTCTGCAGCGGACACAAGACCCGTCCACAGGCCACAGCGGGCACAGTGACCTGTCTGCAGAGGACACAAGACCCGTCCACAGGCTACGACTGGAACAAAATCCGTCCATAGGCCACAGCGGGCACAAGACCCGTCCACAGACCACATCGGAAGCCGTCCACAGGCCACAGCGGGAACGAGGAACCGTCCACATGCCACAGCGGGCACAGGACCTGTCCACAGCGGGCACAAAGGCCCGTCCACAGCGAGCACAAGACCCGTCCACATGCCACAGCAGGCACAAGATTCGTCCCCAGGCCACGTTGGACACAAGGACCCCTCCACAGGACATATCGGGCACAAGAACTGTCCACAGGTCACAGCAGGAACAGGGAGCCATCTTTAGACCACAGCGGGCACGAGACCCGCCCACAGGCCACGGCGGGAACAAGATCCGTCTACAGCGAGAACAAGACCCGTCCACAGACCACAGCGGGAACAAGGGGTGATGGCTCTGTTATGGGTTCGCCGGTCTGTGCCCCTGGTTATGGGTTCGCCGGCTTGTGCCACCGGTTATGAGTTCGCCGGTCTATGCCACCGGTTGTCAGTTCGCCGGCCCGTGCCGCTGGTTATGAGTCCGCCGGCCTGTAGTTTTTATTTCCACGCAGTTTGAATGAAGTGATATTGCTGGCGGAGACAGCACCACTCGCAGGAAGATGTCGATATTATGCTGTCTTTTTCTTCATTGAATCGGCACGGAAAGACCATTATCCTTTACCGATATGTGAGACAGAATTAATGGCTTTAATCCTTGTTTAATATCTAGGAAACAGAATAGAGAGTTGCATTGATATTTTACCTACAAGTCTTTGTTAAAACAATTCTGAGCAGACAATTCAAAACTGTTTTGAGTTTACTGCTCCTAGCTGTGTTGACAAAGGCTTGTAGCCGAAAAAGGCCATACATCTCTCCTTTTTCTCTTAGTTGTTCAGCGAGGAATAAGGCCATTAATACTCTCTTACGTGCGTGTAATGTTCTTCGCAGCTGTACCAAGCAACTCACGTCACCATCGATTTATCATCATTAATTACGCTGCGCTAGCACAGTTCTGATCTCAAACAGCCTATATCTTCACGTTCAGCAGCGTTATAAGGCAGATTATTGACACTGAAACCCGCCACGGCATCGGACTGGCAGACCTGCCGAGTGAGCGTACATATGACCTGCTCGATCTACCCTCAGCACGATTGTCAGCTGGAATTCATGACGTCATGCGTGCTGACGGAGCGTTCGATAAGAGGGCTCATGGGAAAGCTTTCAACTTCACCTTTATTTTCTATTTTACCTTTTAACTGAACTTCAGTCTGACACACTATATATGCCATGAAATGTGGAACTGTGGTACCTGCTTTGGTATTACCATCCATCCTACCAGCAAATTGGGTGCTTCTGTTCATTTCCGGCTCATTCGAAATTTTTCCTTTCTTATATTAACTCTAACTCCATCTTTGAGGAGAAGGTGCCTTTTCACTGCTACTTGTACTAAAATGAACGCCATCATTTTATTCAGTTCCTTCATGTGGTGACGATGTCCATCTTCCAGACGCAAAGAACTGTGTTTCTTCTCTCTCTGTCTTACGATTTCTCCAATGCTATCAAGCTACTGTGCAACACAACCACTTACCACACCACTCCCCGTCACTCAGCGATCTGTGCATGGCGGGGAACGGCCGCCCCCCCCCCCCCCCGGCTCTGGAGGTTACGCATTTCCGACGTCGCAAACGATGTGAAACGTCGCCGAGCAGCAGCCGCACCGGCTAGCAGTCCACCCCGTGTCCGCCACGCACGGGAATGGTCACAGTCCAAGTTGGCGCCAGAAATCGGAACCGCCACTAAGCGGCGCCACCGAAAGAGCCCGCAATGCTGTGCGTCGCCGGTGCTTGAGCACGCTGCGAGGTCAGATGACCCTCCCCTGGTCACCTGACCCCACCTGGGCATGGCAGACTGCCTCGATCACGTGTATTGTCAGGTCACGTCACGAAACGTGATCGCATCACTGACCATGTAACATTGCCTGATGGCGTGGTATTGCCTTTTCAAGTGAATGACGCGTGTGAACGATGTTGCCCTATCACAATGACGTCATTTTGTCACGTGACCTCGCCTCATGGCGTAGTGTTGGCTGACAGGCAGTCTAAGATCTTTTCAGATACCCACTACTTTGGCAGTGTCTTGGACGTAGTCTGTCGGACTCCTCAGAAGCTACTTCTCGTGGCGTTTCGGGATTAGTTTTCCACGTAACGAAAGATCATCGTTCAAATTCTGAACTGATCTCTTTTGACTCGCTTGCAGGCCTGGACAGAATTGTTCTCAGAGTTTGTTCCAAACGTCCTCCAAGACCAGGTAACGACCGGGCGTCTCTGGACCTGATGAGAATGACCTGGTACTCCGTAAGTATTATCTTCCCAGCCCCCGGGGAAAATTGTCCTCTCAGTCCCGGTGAGGAGTATCTTCTCAGACTAGATGAGGCGCGCAGTCTTCGTGATGAACGGACATCGTCTCAAGGCCGCCCGAATACTGTCCTCACATCGGGAAAGGAATGTCTTCAGACAGTCTTAAAAAGACGCTCTCAGACCGCATGAGGAATGCTCTCAGACCGGGTGAGAAATGTCCTCAGGTTGTCTGACGAACGTTTTCAGACCGACTGATTAATGGTCTCAGACAGGTCGGGGAATATTCTCAGGCCGTGTGAGGAATGTTCTCAGACCGGGTGAGGAGCGCCATCTGTCGCGAGCGCGCCGCTCCTCTGTTGGAGTGGCTCCATCTGCTTCAGTCGAATGGAGTTTATCCGATCCGCGGTTGTTTGCGTGGATCCTCTGTGGAAAACGGATGCATATCACTCAGTCAACGAGTGATCAATGATGTCATACCACAGCATCTAGCCCCTGCCCAGTACGAAGCTTTACATGCTTAGTCTCAGAGCTAGCGAGGGTGGGGGATAAGCCATTCGAAGCACACGTTTATTGTTTAGACTCCATGACTTAGTTACTGAAGCAATGTCTTGCTTTAGAATCGTATCAATCTGACGTATAAAACGAGAGATCAAATCTCAAATATCGTTCGGTTAACACTTCAGGAAAGTCAAAGATGGAGGGTGAAAACCCGTATGGTTCACAGATCCCAGACAGAGTTTAAAATGATCCCAGATGACCAGCATGCTTCAGCCACATGAATAAGCCACACCTCCTCTGATCAATCGCGGCCAGTTGCATGCTTTACATAGGGGCCCGCTCTCGGCGGCGTGGCCAACGTTGATTGTTTGAATTCCACAAGGCGTATTTCACAGAAAAGACTTCGGCAGAGCTAATTAAGAAGATAGCGAGGCACATCTGGCAAGCAATCAGTTTTAAAGAGGAGCTACGGATCGACTTAATGCTCTTGATCGGAAAATATGAGGCATTCTGGAAAAGCGAGATGACAGCTGATGGTATAGAACGTGGCAGCGTCTGCCGCTGTGTATCAGTGACGTCACAGGCGCGACTGACCCGAAGAGCCGGCCGCGCAGCGATCTTTGCAGTGAGAAGCGGGACCTTGACTCCTCGGAGGCGTTGTCCATGTCGTACGATTCGTGCGGGCCAGAGCACAGGCTCCTCGTGAACCGGATTCGGAACTCACGCTTGAACTTCTCCTGTAACACGACCGTCGTATGAAGGTGTGACAGCCATCGTGTGAAGGTGTGATGGTGTGCCCGTGTGACAGTTTCACTATGCGATGGCGTGACGCTGTGACGATGCGATGGTGTGATAACGTGATGGTGTGACGATGTGATGGTGTATGCGTGTGATGGCACAACGGTGTGATGATGTGATGATGTGACGTGGTGGTGTAATACTGATGGTGTGGTGGTGTGTCAGTGTGACGGTGTAATGGTGCGAAGGAGAAATGGTGCGACGGTGTGACGGTGTCGTGTGTAGGAGCAACAGCATAACGGTGTGACGGTGTGACGGTGACACGGTGTGAAAGAGTAACGGTGTGACGGTGTGACGATGCGATGGTGTCATGGTGTGTAGGAGTAACAGCGTGACGGTGTGACGGTGTCACGGTGTGAAGGAGTAAAGGAGCGGCGGTGTGACGGTGCGATGGTGTTAAGGTGTGAAAGAGTAACGGCGTGACGGTGTGACGGTGGGCGGTGTGCAGGCGACCAGCATTCCTGCATAACGTACCACGCAGCTGGCCAGTATAACCCCATGGTTATTTAAGGTGGTGCAGTGTGTGTGCCATGTGAGCCAGGGTGAGTATCAAAGGGAATCAAGGTGACCTTCTTACAATAACAAATACGTGATATCCCTTAAGTAAGTTTCATTTTTAATGAACTTTGGTCACGCACCTTGTTCACGTAATCGAGAAGTTCTAATATTTAAACTTTTTGTATCTTTGAAAACTCTGAATGGAAAGTTTAAAGATTTAAAATTGTCAGTTCGAATAAATCGTAAGTCCAAAAATCTTAACTTCTTGATTCTGTGAGCAAGGTCCGTGCGCAAAAATTCCCTAAATATATAACTTACTTAACGAATATCACGCGTATAAGAATTGTAGTCATCTAAGTCCCCTTTTAACTATCTACATGGTTATTTGTCGCCACAGCACACGTAACAGCTGACCGCTTACCACTTGTATTGTGAAGGCATGATAATGATAACAATGTGGCACATTGTTATCATTATTATGCACTGGGGAACATCGTATCACAAATCACCTTCGTAATGGGCCGTTTACAGCATTGGGAAGGAATGATGGTCGACACAGCATGCTCCTATAACACTATCGCAGTACCTGTGCAAAACAGTAGGCTGGTATAAAAGTGATGGCAATATATCCCATATGCATAATCGCAGCAAACTGGTACAACGGCTTGGACAGATCACTGTCGTAACGTTGGGCGTTAGTAACAGTGTGAACCCGTGCCACGGTAACAGCACGGCTAGGGGCCGCTATAGCAACACGTGTTGGCATCAGGAAAACAGCATCCGTGGCTGGTCGTCGTCAGCGCACGCCAGGGCCTTACATTGTAGATGCCGTAGATGAACGGGTTGCAGCAGCTGTTCGCCATGGCGAGCCAGTGGAAGCAGAAGAAGATGACATTGATGTAGCGGAACCTGCGACACGCAAGAGACGTAAATGACGGGATAGTCGGTGTGTCGGCCTTCGGACCACGAGGATTGAGTTCGAATACCGCACACTGCTCAAATATTTCGCTGCCGGAGTGACGAGACTAAGCCGTAGCGCCAGATATTTCATGACGGTTTCCGCCCTCGGCTCCCACAACACAACACGACGGATGAAAGGCGCAGAAAAGGCGCGGGCGCTGGTAAGCCGGTAGGCCATGTTGCCGTTCGATGACGTCATCGCCGTCCATGACGACATTCTTCGCTTGGCACGCCACTCACTGGCTGATGACGGGGAAGATGGACTGCAACACGTAGTAGAGCTGATACGGCAGCCAGCAGATGATGAACAAGACCACCACAATCACCAGCATCTTCAGCACCTGCCAGCACAGTTGGTTCTCATCGTCTCCACGGTCTCCTTCCGACCGGGCTGCAGCACCGGCATGGACGAAAGGGAAACATGGAATGTGATAATGTGATGCAATGTAACTTAATGGAATGAACGACGCACTCATTGCATCCCCCCCCCCCCCCATCCCTCCTTTCCGGCCAGCGAAACAGCATGACGTTTCTTTGTTCAGGATGTGGTTCGGGCAAATGGCATCGCATTTCGGACCTATCCTCCTACCTGCCGACCATCCTGCTCTCCTCATACTGCCATTCGATAGTGGATCTGACTTCTCGCTAAAGCGATTGTGACATTGGCGTGTGACGACTCAACAACAGTGCCGGTGGGGCAGCGACGCATGTAAATGGCCTGCACATACGACAAACGTCCGCTGTCACGGTGGAGTCAGTGGGCATTTCCGCAGCGCGGGGTGCGAGCCAGCGCCCATCGACCCAAAACATACTGAGTTAACTACCGTGGTGGGCTTGCTGACCGTTGGCTGTGGATCGATCGGTCGGAAGACACGTTTTTCATAACTTCCATTCTGTACCTTTTATGGTTATCCCGTCACACATGCAGGCGATGATGATTTGAAACAGCGCAGCAGAGAAACAATATCGACAAGAACAAAAGGCTCCCGGCCCCCCAAAACAAATAATCTGTACAACCATCACGCTGCTTCAGACCGATGAGCCGCCGGTAACTGCACATCCAGCGGCGGAGCAAGATCGGCCAGTCGAGTTGATTCAGCCGCGCAAATCGCATCAATTCCGTCCGGCGGTTTAGTCTGTTAGAGCGCCTTTCTTCGGATTACCCACCCCTAAACGTGGCCAGGGGAGTTCGAGTCGCCTGAAGCGCTCGCATCTGCCCCTGACCGGAATGACCTGCGGCCAATGACAGCGGCCGCGAAAGGTCAGGTGACGTCAGAGGTCAAGGTGACCGAGCGTGTCGAGTATAACGGCACGTTAAACTTTCGTCACAATATTTCGCTGCAGCAGCCGCTGCCGAGGTAGCGGAGGGTGTAACTAGGTAACGGTGGGCGTGTCTTTCCTACGGCCTGGCCATCCACGATGCTATTGCCTTGTCTCAACCATTCCGTGAGACTGTAGGCACTGCTTGCCCCGGGCTCTGATCCCAGAAATCTATCCAATCAACTAATTCGGACAGAACCAAGTCGAATTGGACGCCTCGCTGGCTCAGCCTCTCACGCGGCAGCTGTAACTGGCCGCCCATCGCTACCTCGGCCGCAGCTGCAGCTGCCGCCGGCTGCTGCTCAGCCGGAGCACACCGCCTCGCCTGCGCAGAGCGCGGCTGGCGAGGCGGCCGCGGGGTGCTTCGGGTGCGATGACTCACAAGATTGTCCTCCTCACGGTTGCAACGTCACGGTTGGCGCTACATCACCAGCGGTCGGCCATGTTGGATCTGACCGGGCCGGCGTCACCCGACCGCGCGGCCTCAGGGCATCGATGATGTCCTCCCCCCACCCACCCCCCTCCTCCCACCCCAAGTGATGTGCGAGCTGCAGCCTGAGTCTTTGCGTGACCAGAGGGAAAGTCGGCACTGTATGCGGAGGGAAATCGGTGACTCGATGAGCGGTCAGGAGAGGTGACATCGGCAGATTGCGTTTGGAGGAGTATGGCGCAAAATCGACAGTCGTGTCCTGTGATCACGTCGCTCGATGACGGAGGCTTTCAAATATGAGGCTACAGCAAATGGCGACACCCGGGATCTCCACGTTTTGGGGGTTTCGTTTGAAAGAGACAGTGGTTTCGAACAGACGGCAAAATGCAATCCGTGTTTGGTAAGCTTCATTTAACGGCGGACAACAGTGGCGCAGCCAGGATTTTTCATCCCGGGGTAGTTCGGTGATAGCGCAGCACGCCGATTTTTTTCATTTTCTGTCAGAAGCCATCGATGATGCTAAAACGGTGAGTATAAGGTCCCGCATGTTAATGCGAACCACCTTTCACCTTCCCTCCTCCAGTTGCGCCACTGGCGGACAGCCCGGTTTCCAGGATTTGTGTTCAGCCTTTTTGGGTAAGATGCTTTTCAGCCGTGGCTAACTTTGTCGGGACGCTCCTACTTCGCTCAGGAATAATGCAGGGGATAATAGAGCTAAACAAATGGACGCCAGAAACACCCATGATATAGCCGATCCAAGTGGCAGGCGCTGAGTGAACTCCTCCATAAAGACCAAAACAACGCTGGACCCAAATAGACCCTTGAGTCACGCCGTGTGTGACGTCAGGGCTACCAGATCTTCCACGGATGGTCCGCATGCGATCCGGGGGCCGAGCATGGCATCGCGTGACGCCCATATTGTGCCTTCCAGCTTCTCCACTGGTAGGCAGTGCCGGACTGTGTCAAATGCTTTTTGGATATCGGCAGTGACCAGCGATGCCAGCACAGCTTTGTTCGCACGTCTGGTGGCGACAGTGACTTTGCCACGAGGGAGGGTTGGGGGGGGGGGGGGCATGTCCTCCTGGGCCTGGCAGGGCCTCATCCCTCGAACCTAAGACAGGGTCTCGAAACGACGAAGAGCCCTTGGGCCCTTGGCTGCAAAGGCCCCTATATCCGATCCCCTGGAGGAAACGCTGGCTGCGCACCCGGACGGCGGGCACCACAGCGTGAAGCAGCGTCAGCGCCGCGGAGAGATCGGAGCGGGGTCTGGGCTGCTGATGCTGCACTCAGCAAGGTGCGGTCGGCCACTTCTCATCAGCGGCGAGCGTGAACATGTCTTACCTACATATGTAAATGATGATGCTGGTGAATTCGTTTTCCAATACGGGACCAAGCAGCTGAGCTAATCAATTAATGAATTAAAATAAATAATGAATGAAGGAAGCTAACATAACTTAAATAAGTTAAATAAATTCAAAATTAAGATTTTTCGCGTTCCACGAGCGTAGCCGATAAGCTGTGAACAACTTAGAGATGCATCGCATGTCTTGAAAGATTGCGCACCATTCTCGCTCCAAAACGCCGTGCGATTCGTTCGAAATTTCCAAGACCAGGACGGTAAGCAGGCCGACATTTCCTGCGGCTGCATCAGAATGAAGCGGTGCCGGTGTCGGGGAGGCCGGCGGAGACCGCCGTTGCAGCTGTGTACGCCACCGCAGCGCGGGTCAAGTGACAGCCCATCACGCACCGAACCTGACGCCTGCCCCGCTCACTCGGACGCCTCCGAGCACAGCGTCTCACGAGCTGTGCCGCCACAGCACGCCGGACCCTCATGGAACACGGCTTCTCGTGGCACCGGGAGCGGCGTTGGACCCACCAAAAGTTGCGCGGGAGGGGAGTGTGCTCTCGGGGAAACGCCAAGGGGCCAATATTGCGTTTGGTGATGGTGGCAGCCACCTCTCCCACTCCCTCCTGTCCCCCGTTTTGAGGCATGCATGGCCACTTTTTCCTGCTTAGCTCCCTTTACCCCCACACATATTAATTTGGCGGAACTACACCCGAGTATGAGCATGACGTTAAGTGATGGTAATCAGATAAAGGGACGTGTCGGAAGTATGATGGCAATATACCCACAACCGTCATGTCATTTTAAAACTCATTTTGCGCCGACCAGTGGACATCAAGCCGCAGGGGCTTCCAGTCTGCCGCCAACTTGAACAGGAGCGGCCGTCACACTGAGTGTCACGCGAGTGTCACACCAAGTGTCGACTGCTTCAGTGGGGCCACGGGGCCTTGGCTTTAATGGGATCTGGCCGTCGCCCGGCAACTACGCCAGGCAAAGATGCTTCGCTCTGTTCGGGTGGTTGCCATGGCGACAGACGGCGTCTGGCGCGTGTCGCCTGTCGAGCCGCCGCCGCCGGCGTTCGCGGAAAAGCCGCCAATGAGGCACAGGGATCGGGAGCGCGTGGCCGCCGGGCTCTAAGTGCGCGGGCGTTGAGATGCCCATTCTGCAAGTGTTCAGGAAATGAAGCAACGGGGCGGAATTTTAAAATACACGTGTTCGATGCGGAGATTTCTGCGAATGAATGACGGTAACAGACTGCATGCCATCGCAGGCCAGCAGACGGAGATATTGAGAACAGATTGGCTCCTGGGGGAGACGGTGCTCTGGCCGTTAAAGAAACGGTCCACATTTTAAGATATTGGAGCAAGCATCATATGTGAAAGTAGCTCACCTATAGCTATTGCGGCACTTACGTGGGAAGCACTGCTCTAGACAACGCAATTTGTGTATTGTAAATATGCTCCGCAATATCTCATCGTTAAATTGCGTCATAAAACATTTGTATGACAGCAATCACTTGCAGTTCTTCAGTCTCCCGTGAGGTGGCGGCATAGGCTGGAAGTAGTTTGCTGAGCCAAATATCGCTATGTACTCGTGTTATGTGCTCGTGCTATGAGCTCATGTTTTGGCCATTGCCCGTGGTGTTCTTGCACGTTTATGCATGCACTTAAGTTGTCAGCTTGTGTCCAATGCTTGTTATAGTGCTATTCTTAAGTCATTCCGATTACAAATCTTAGTTCACTTATCACTTTAGAGAACGCATAGCCTATTGTGTTATGTAGGACAAAACATAGTTCGTATCAGAATCTTAAACAGCTTGCCCAGCGCTGATGAAAGCCGACTGACGGCTATCTATCTGAAAAGCGCGCTCCCGATCGCCAATCGTCAACAACCGACAATCATATTTTCCTTAACCTTGAACGCCGCCCAACAACTGACAGCTGACAATCATATTTTCCTTAACCTTGAACGCCGCATGGCCAGTGAAATGGCAGGATTCAGATGACGCTACCATGACACCGTGGATGCCTGGGGTAACGTTAAAATAGTCTGCACGGAAACAGTCTGCGTATCTTTGCCGGAATGTAGCTCAGAGACTAGTGGGTTTTGGGTTCTACGAAGGCTAGGCTGGGAACTTGTACCGAATGATCTTAAACACGGCTATTTCAGGGTCAAAACCCCAAACAAATGAGGGGCACTCTCAGTAAAAGCAGCGAACCAGTCCCTGCCAGCCCCCA